CGGACTTCAGAAGGAGTCTTTGGAGCTTCCCATTTTTCAGCTGCTTCTATTTTGGCTGGATCTACCTTCACCCCTGCTTTTGAGATAACGTGACCCAAGAATTGGACCTCCCTTAACCAGAACTCACATTTGGACAACTTGGCATACAACGTTTCTCTTTTCAACAATTCCAGTATCAGGCGAAGATGTTTTGCGTGCTCTTCTTTAGTCTTAGAGTATATAAGTATATCATCAATAAATACAATAACGAATTTATCAAGATATTCCTTACATACCCTATTCATCAAATCCATGAAGGTTGTGGGCGTATTAGTTTAGCCGAATGACATAACTAAGAACTCATGATGCCCGTATCCGGTTCGAAAAGTTGTTGTAGCAACGTCTTCTTCCCTGACTTTAAGCTGATGATATCCCGACCTTAAATCGATTTTGGAGAAATAACTTGCTCCTACCAGTTGATAAAACAAGTCATCAATCCTTGGTAGAGGATACTTGTTTTTAATAGTCAATTTATTTAATTCTCGATAGTCTATACACATTCGCATAGATCCATCTTTCTTCTTGACAAATAAGACCGAGCACCCCAAGGTGAAGTGCTAGGTATAATGAATCCTTTATCAGTTAGATCCTTCAATTGAGTGACCAACTCTTTCAATTCTAAAGGAGCCAATCTATACGGTGCCTTGGCCACTGGTGCTGCTCCAGGTATGACATCAATTCGGAATTCAATGACTCGATCTGGCGGTACTCCAGACAAATCCTCTGGAAAGACTTACGGGTATTCATTAACGATTGGAATCGATTCCTCTTTTATTTTCTCTTTCTGTGTATTAACAACATACGCTAAACACCCCTAGCATCCTTTCCGAATAGACTTTCGGGCTTTTATTACATATAATAAACTAATATGATGATCCTGACGATCACCATAAATAAAAACTGTTCATTGATCTGGTAGTGTAATTCTGATCATCTTCTTATTACAAACAATATTGGCATGATGCTCTGCTAACCTGTCCATACCCACCACTACATCAAACTCTTTCATCGGCATAGGGAATAGTCGAATCGGTAACTCACACCCCTCAATAATAATAACACAATTATTGAATACTCTAGTAACAGATTCCTGACTATTAGCAGTATCAACTACTAATTCGAAATCTAGTAGCACAGAATTCAGACATGCAGATTAAGCAAATGATGGTGATACAAATGAAAATTTTGCACCAAAATCAAACAACACCTTAGCACGTATAGAATTTAGAAGAAAAGTACCTGTTACTACATCTGGGGTTGCTTCTGCTTCATTCTTCGTTATTCGAAACGATCTACCCTTGGCTCCACTCTGGCCTCCCCTCGGTGCACTAGGCCTTCCATGGTTACTGGGAGTATTTCCTCCCATTGTCAGACGAGGAGCTCTCAATTGTGGACAATTTGGTCGAATGTGGTCAGGTGAATTGCACTGAAAACACCTTTTGGGTGTAGTGCAGTCCCTTGACAAATGTCCTGTCTCCCCACAACGATAACATCACTTTGGTTCAAACGGACAATTTCCCTGATGCACCTGCTGACATTGTGGGCAGTTTCTAACAGGTGGCAGCTGTGGAGCACGGTTATCTGTTTTAGTAAATTTGGGTCTTCGAAAACTAACTGAAGACCCCTCCCACTTTCTTTTCTCAACAAATTTCTCTTCACCTTGTCGATTCTTGTTTCTTTCAGTAATTTCAGCAGCATTGACGGCTAAAGAGAAAGCTTTAGGGTTCATAGCAATCACGAACTCCCGACTAGAAGGTTTCAGACCCCAAATATACCTTTCTACCTTTCGGGATTCTGAAGATACGTAATGTTCAGCAAAACGAGAAAACTCAATAAATTTCTCGGTATAATCCTGTACAGATCTATTCCCTTGTTCCAATTTCAGAAAATCCTCCTCTATTTGTCTTACTATTGTCGTAGGACAGAATTGTGAATGTATGTACAAATTCTTCCCAAGACATTGTCTGCAGTATATTCGGTTGTGCTAAGGACTCCACATCCCACCAATATAAGGCATTAGATTTAAGCATAGGCACTGCAAATCTAACCTTGTTTTCTTCAGAACATCTACTGATATTGAATACCGATTCAATCTCTTTTATCTAGCACATTTCTTTTACTGGATCTTTTTCCCCTGAAAAAGTTGGAGGTTTACATGTCAGAAACTTCTTTATATCTCCTCCCTGAGTATTGCTGCTTGCTGAAGGAGCTGAAGGATTAATTCCAACTCGCTCGGTTTCTACTCTAGCTGGCAGTCCCATAATAGATATCAGAGTTTCCCTCGGTTTTTCCATTTCTTCTGCTAGATCGATTCTAGTTATAAATTTTGATTGTTGCCTCTATTCTTGTTAAGCATTCCCAGAAATAGATTCCCCTTGATCAGGGCGAATCTCAGCCTGACTCCTCTCAGGAATCTGACTTCTTCTTCAACCTCTACCCCTACTCCTTCCACGTCCTCTACTCCTTAAAGTATAGGTTGGTGGATTAACGGGAGATTCCTCCCTTTCTTCAAATTCAGGACAGACAATTCTTTCTGATCTTCGCGATCGACTAGACATCTGCAGATATTTTATTATTAAATATCACGTATTCATATTCCCAAATATAATATGGTATCCGAGTATAGGTATGTACCTGTAAATTCATAATTACATTGGCCATTTGTAATTCGAATTCACCTTACATACTTCCCTCTTTAACCCATTATATTTTATTCCCAATGATACTAATTATGTCTGGGACTCTTAACATGCAAATAACAATTTAAGTCTAGGCATCATGCTTGGAATACCTAAGTCTCTTAAACTAAGGCTCTGATACTACTTCTGTAACACCCCCAAACACCACATTTTCATATTACACATATTTCATTACATGGAAATATAGTTTACATTACAAGGTCCCACTAGTACAAGGATTCTTATATGTACAAATCTACATATGAAAAATTCCAAAACAAATCATGTACTATCACATGTAATACAACATGTATCTTCAAAAGCAGATAATAGGTTAGGAAAATATTCACATTTTCCCTTTCCATTTACTATCCCCGGACCCCGTTATTCCTACATTGCATAATATTAAAATAGAAAATGAGAGTTAGACTAGATGGGTCTAGTGAGAAAATCCCTTCTTCGCAAATGCAGAGTGATGAACACCAAAATGTAATAAAGTATCTTTGCTCAAAAATATTTGCAATATAATTAAATAATGCAGTTCTCAATGATATGCATAAAAGAATGAACTCAAGAACCTCAGTTCTAATAATAAAATACATCTGCTTAAAGATCCAACGTTCCCAATATGAAACAAATATTGTAACCAAAGTTTCTTTAATCACCAAACCATTCCATGTAAATATTTAATAGAAAGATTTAAGGCAATACTTGACCTTTATGACAAACCATTTTCCCCTTCTCAATAACATCTAAATTATTGTTTCTAATAGGAATAATATCTCTAATTCATCAGGTCACAAATAAATGATGATTCAAAGTTATTAAATCCAATTAGTAACAATAATCAGAGTTATAATATTATCCACATATGACAATGCCTCCCTTATTCCAAGTACACCTCTCCTTGATATGCCACCCTTATTCCTTCATCAAAACAAGGCTACTTATCATAACAGACAAAAGTCATTACGTCTGAAAGTACCCATTCCCAGTTCCAAGCCAGAACAGACAAAAGTCACCACGTCTGGGGGAACTACCATTTAAAACAAGTTTCATACCAAAACAGGCTTACGTCACCACGCTTGGTAGGAAGGTTTCTCAAAATATAGTTTCATACCAAAACAGACTTACGTCACCACGCTTGGTAGAAACCTTTTCCCAAATCCAGTTCCATACCAAAACAGACTTACGTCACCACGCTTGGTAGGAACATATATTTTTATTTAAAAAGATATAAAATACCTCTTTTATAAATCCATAATTAAACCCAGTAATAGACATTTTTAAATTATATTAAATGTCTAAAATATTCAACATTTGAAAATTATCAAATATAAATCACCCGGATAAGTTATTCGGATATACAATCCGGACAACACTATCCCTTCTTGTCCGATATACTAATCCGAACAAGACTTGGTCGAGTTAAGACTAAATTGCATGACTCATGTCCGGTTTAAGGCAATTCGGACAACACATGATCGGTAAAAGACTGAACCGCTCAATACGTGATCGGTTTATAACTAATCCGCATGACCCTTAAGCAATTTAAGGCTAAACCGCTCAATACTTGGTCGTATTCATACTTCTCCGTTCAAAACCTTTGTCCAGTTTACATATTTCAAATATTCTCACTAACACTATAAATCGCACAATACTTAAGCGATTTATGAATAAATCGGACACCTCCTATCCGGTTTAAGAGTAATCCGGACAAGCTTTGTCCTGTTTTAGACTTAATCCGGTCACCCTTTGTCAGAATAAAACCATTAATTAAATAACTGATTTCTTTCCAATAATAACCAACATTCAAATAAAACCAGTAACAAATTTTATACAAAAAGGTTTAGAAATCACTCACCTTCAAGTATGAACTCAGATTTTGAAGAAGAAGAAGAATGCAAGCCACAATAACAATCTGGACAACCTTTCACTCTAATTTCTCCAAAATTTCCAAATGAAGCAAGAAGCTTCATTAAGAACCTAAAACCCTTTATTTATACTTTCCAAAAATGGAAAGTCGGCTACCAGCCTTACCCACATACATGAATACACAATTTACCCATGCATACTGATTTCATACACACACATGCATATGCATATTATATATATATATATGTACATATATATATATATATATTTATCATATTATGCATATATCCCTATGCATAAAACACACATACTCACATATTAAATTCACGTAAGCATGTATCCATATAAACAATTAATTCACATAGTAAATACCTTGGGTAATAATCAGAACCCGGTTATCACAGAAGTATGAACGATATTGTTAATGCTCGACGCAGTGGTGACTCGCAAATGCTTTTTGGGGGCAAGGTAATTGTTTTTGGAGGAGATTTCAGACAAATTATGCCAGTTATTCCCAACACAGGTAGACAAAACATTGTAAATGCATCATTAAGCTCATCTTATATTTGGGAAAAATGCAAAGTCCTAAGGTTAACTAAGAACATTAGGCTAACTGCAAACAGTGAGATTTCAGAAATTAAACAAACAAGGAATTTTACAAAATGGATTTTGGACTTAGGAGAAGGAAAAGTTGGAGGTGATAATGATGGTGAGGCAGTTATTGAGATACCTCATGATCTTCTCATTAGTGATTCCGTCGATCCTATATCTGCATTAATCAAATTTTTCTATCCTTCAATTCTTGAAAACATCAACAACTCAGCTTATTTTCAAGAACGAGCAATACTTGCACCAAAAAGTGAAGTCATTCAAGAAATAAATGATTGTTTGTTGTTATTGTTCCCAGGAGAAGAAAAGAAGTACTTAAGTTCAGATACGCTATGTGAATCAGAGCACCTTCACGATGAGTTTGATAAAGCTTTGTACTCTCCTGATGTTTTAAATGGTCTTAAATTATCAGGGATACCAAACCATAAGATTTTACTAGAAGTTGGTGTTCCTATCATGTTACTCATGAATATTGATCAGAAATCTGGATTATGTAATGGAACTAGACTGTGGGTGTTAACATTGGGAAATCGAGTGATAGAAGCACATGTTATATCTGGAATCAATATTGGAAGTCGTACATTCATTCCAAGAATGTCTTTGACACCTACAGACAAAAGGATACCATTCAAATTTCAAAGGAGACAATTTCCAATTGTTGTATGTTTTTCCATGACCATAAATAAGAGCTAAGGACAATCATTATCAAAAGTTGGTTTATTTCTAAGACAACCGGTCTTCACCCATGGTCAGTTATATGTTGCTTTATCTAGAGTTAAAAGCAAGCAAGGTTTGAAAGTACTAATTATGGATGATGATGGTATTATTGACAGTAGAACAACGAATGTTGTATATAAAGAAGAGTTTTAGTAATATATGATACATGGTTCTTATTTTATCAATATTTTACGTATTAACCTTTCATTAGTTTCATTTATGTTCTGTTATAAATTTTTTTTACAGGTTCCTCATATTTACTCATATTATTATTAATTCTTTAAAGGCTTATTTTTCATTTATGTTATGCATTATAATTATCCGGCCATAGAGGCTTTGCATGTACTACGCAGACCCTCTTAGCCTCACTCCGTGCTTCATACAGAGCTTTATAGAGGCTATGCATGTATTACACAGAGCCTCACTCCGTGTCTCATACAGAGCTTTATAGAGGCACTGTAGGTACTACGCAGCGCCTCTATGCCTGATTTTGTGCTGCATGCAAAGCTACGTAGCGGCTCTACGTCTACAACGCAGATTCGATCTACGAAATATTTATGCAGACTTGTACCTTTGACTAACCTTAGAAATTAACTCTGGAAAGGACTTCAGATTTGTGTCCAGATTGTTCGTCTTTATTTAGAAGTCTTTATGAGCATCGAAATACAGGACGTCCTTTGTATATGCTACACTTAACTCATCAATAACAGCTCTATCTCTGCATGTACTAGGCAGAGCCTCTGAGCATGACTTTGTGCTTTATACAGAGCTTCATAGAGACTCTGCATAGCTTCTGACCCTGATTACGTGCTTCATGCAGACCTACACATAGGCTCTTCATCTACAATGGATAACCTATGTCTACGGAATGATCCTTCAGACTTGTGACTCTAAATAACCTTGCCTTCAACTCTGGAAAAGGACTTCAGACTTTCCTTTTCAAATATATTTATTTAGGAGGCGAAATGCAAAGCATGTCAAACCACGTGTCTTCCCCCCACAGGCTTATGAATAACTGTTTCAGTTCTCGATCCTTCGAGCGGATTTCCACTTGAGTGCCTATTAGGAAATCTCTTTTTAAATTATCCTTTATCCCCAAAAGTAAATTTATTTTATTAATATTTTACCTATTTACCTTTCATTAGTTTCATTTAGGTTCTGTTATAAATTTTGTTTTACAAGTTCCTCATATTTACTCATATTATTCTTAATTCTTTAGAGGATCATTTTTCATTTATGTTCTGCATTATAATTATCCGAGCATAGAGGCTCTGCATATGTACTATGCAGACCATCTGAGCCTCATTATGTGCTTCATATATAGCTTTAGAGAGGCTCTGCTTCTACTATGCAGAGCCTTTTAGCCTCACTCCATGTTTCATACAGAACTTTATAGAGGCACTACAGGTACTACGCAGCACCTCTATGCCTGATTCCCTGCTTCATGCAGAGCTACACAGCGGCTCTGTCTCTACAATGCAGAGCCTTTGTCTATGAAAGATTTATTCAGACTTGTACCTTTGACCAACCTTAGAAATTAACTCTGGAAAAGGACTTCATACTTCTGTCCAAATTGTCCGTCTTCATTTAGAAGTCTATATAATCATCGAAATACAGGACGTCCTTTGTATATGCTACACTTAACTCATCAGTAACAGCTATGTCTCTTCATGTACTAGGAAGAGCCTCTGAGCATGACTATATGCTTCATACAGAGCTTCATAGAGGCTCTGCATAATTTCTGACCCTGATTCCGTGCTTCATGCAGACCTACACAGAGGCTCTGCATCCACAACGCATAACCTATGTCTACGGAATGATCCTTCAGACTTGCGACTCTGAATAACCCTGACTTCAACTTTGGAAAAGGACTTTAGACTTGCCTTTTTCAAAAAAAAATATTTATTTAGGAGGCGGTATGCAAAGCATGTCAAACCACGTGTCTTCCCCCGCAGACATATGAATAACCGTTTCAGTTCTCGATCCTTCGCGCCGATTTTCACTCGAGTGCCTATTAGGAAAGTTCTTTTTTAAATTACCCTTTATCCCCAAAATTAAATTTATTATATTAATATTTTACCTATTTACCTTTCATGAGTTTCATTTATGTTCTGTTATAAATTTTGTTTTATAAGTTCCTCATATTTACTCATATTATTATCAATTCTTCATAAATTATATATCATTTTCATTTGATTTTTGTAAAATAACCCGTGTAATACACGGGTTAGAACCTAGTATATATATATATATATATATATATATATATAAGGTTGGGTTCACGTGAGACCAAGGGTTTTTCGTGAGACCCGTAAGACCGATTTATGTTCATTGATCAACTTTATAAGCTAATGATCTAATGGTCTAAAGTTGTACGGTAGCAATTTTGTGATTATTGAGAAACTTCATGACAAATTTGTGATTATGAATGTTCAGATTGTAAATCTAATCCAAGGGTTGAGAATTGGTCTCACGAGTCTTACGAAAAACCTTTGGTCTCACATGATCCCAAGTCATATATATATATATATATATATATATATAGGGTTGGGTTCACGTGAGACCAAGGGTTTTGCGTGAGACCCGTAAGACCAATTTATATTCATTGGTCAACTTTATAAGCTAATGATATAATGGTCTAAATTTGCAATGTGGTAATTTTGTAATTATTGAGAAGTCTCGTGGCATTTATGAATGTTCAGATCTGACGATTGTAAATCTAATACAAGGGTTGAGAATTGGTCTTACGGGTCTCAYGAAAAACCATTGGTCTCACATGATCCCAAGTCTATATATATATAGAGGAGCGATCAAATGAAAATCACTCCAATTTGTAAAAACCGTAAAAACTACTCTCATCCATCGTTAATCTTATGAAATTTTTTCATGAAATTGTTAATCTTGTGAAATTGTTTCATATAATACTTTTTTTGATGAAGTTGTTTCATATGTGGTTATGAAATTGTTTCATATACTACTTAATGAAATTTTAATTAAACTGTTTCATGTATTTCTCTAAAATTAAAATAATGAAGATGATAATATCCATGATTAACACCCT